TTACACACTCCCTTGTCAGTAGACATCCCGGGAGGTCCTTTTTCCTTATATTTTATTGTTGGGCGCGCCCCATCTCTCACTACATTCGGTTTCTGATATGTAATTCTGGACTTCTTTAAGATTGCTACAACAGTGAGAAAAATGGCTCCTAATAAAAGCACAGAAGCCTCTACACTAACCTCCCAAAATAGCAACATTCCCAAGCCAAAGTCCAGAAAAGACATACCTCTCCGAATTTACCACCCTGCAGTTCTGAATCCGCCCCGTTAGAGGGGTCTCCGCAGTGCCGGTGATGTTAACAAGTTCCCGGGTTTCGGCACCAGATGTCCCGCGCAATATTCTTGCCGGCAAGAATCACACAGGACACTCGGATCCTTCTGCAGGAAAGCTTTAATGCGTCTTGAGAGAGGAGAGCATAAGCTTACCAGAGCGGAGACCCCGAGCCAAGAATCCCGTCCCCTAATAAAGGCTGGCAGCGGCCGCCTGGGACGTGTCACCCTATGAATGGCTTCAGCTCCTCAGGCCATATGAGCCACGGGATAGGCAGAGATCAAAGAAATGGAAAATTACCCAGCGCCTGCGAAATAATTTACATTCAGTGCCTGCAGGCACCATCATTGTAATGGAGAATGCAGGGATGGCTCCCTACAATCAACACAAGTGAAAAAGCTTGCCTAGGCCTCTGGGGCTTGGTCTCACAGATGCAGAGCCACCACACGAGACTTCTCCAGCTCCAGATCCTCCTCTGTCTGGCTAGTGGTGGAGTGTCATAGGAGAACTCTCAGTTTTAGCAAATGAAAACAGAACCTACAGTTAAATTCCAACTTTAGACAGACTACAGTTTTCAGTAAAGGCTCCATTCAATGTTTGGGATGTTGTTGAGGGGGGTTATTGTCATTGTTGTTCACCTGAAATGCATGTTTAATTGGGCATTCTCGTCGCGTCTATCTCGACCAGCAAGAAGGACACGACCGCGACTCTTCTTCAAGCAGTTTATTCAGGAACTTTGTCCATTAGCTTCTCCTCCTACTTCTACCTCTGCTTCTTCTATCTCTCCCAGCCCCCTGGCAAGCCCTTAAAAGCAAGCTCATTACCCACTTAGCTCACGCCACCTGGCGATCCCGGATAGGTCACAGCTGGAGGAGGCACACCAGATCCACTAAGCCCTTCCAAATAAGGCTTGTTTACAGCTAAGCTCGGTCTCCCTGGCATCCAGCCAGGCGCCATCTTGGGGCTGTGGCTCCCCACACATTCTGTGTTTTATGTGGCAGCCCTAGAGGGTGAAGACAGCAATGCTGATAATCCTAACACATCTGGATGCAGGAAGATTTTAGGGAAGTGTGTGTAAATGTCTCATTCTTGGGCGGGTCAGAGATGTGGGCTGGTTCAGAAAGTGCAGATAAGAGCAACAGAGTTGATGGATACTAGGAGATGGGTCACTGTGCTCACAAGCCCAGGCTGACGCAAGGGCATGGTGGAACAATGTGCCCCAAGCATTTACCCTTCTATCGGCGCCCACCTATGAACTAACCTCTTGTTGGTCTCCAAGAGAAATGGCACTCCACTGCGTTGCCTACTCTTCTGTGGACTGCTCTGCCATGTCAAGGAACAGCAAGAAGGTGGTTGAAATGTGCCTTAATACTTAGAGGCAGTGTGGTCTTGGCCTCAGCTTCAGTTCTACATTTGTAAACAGAGTGCAATGGTATTTTCCAAGGTAGTTATAACAGAAAAGGAAAAATGTTAACTCTCAGATATTATCATTTTATTCTTCAGTTTAGAACCTCCTGTGTCCCTCCATCACTCTTCACACCCTGTCCCTCCCTCTCTCTTCACACCGTTCCTCCCTCACTCTCTTCATACCCTGTCCCTCCCTCACTCTCTTCACACCCTGTTCCTCCCTCACTCTCTTCACACCCTGTCCCTCCCTCACTCTTTTCACACC